GAAATATTGTTTAAATTTTAAAAGACAAACCAATCATTTTGGGTAACATGACGACTGAATGATAGTTGCTAAAAACATTGTGAAATCTAAGAATATGAGGATCATGAGAATAAACCTTGGGGTCTTCTTGTGGGATATATATTTGGTATTTGATATTTGTGCTAACTATTTAACTGAAATTTAGTTTTCTGATCTGTAGGGTATTTAACCATCGTTATGACTATTTGACCATCCTCAATTCATTTATCTTTACACACGTATATCATTGTGGAAAGAAACTAGCATGTCAGTAAGATATTCAGTATACATGTACTTTCATAATGGATAATAAACCTTCATTTCACAGATTCGAGTTTAGTATTTTTATACCCCCAAGAGTCCGCGTGATTATTGCTTCCCAGCAGCCTATACTTTGAGGCAACACACCGGATCGGGTGGTAAGGCTCGTTAACTTGGTTTATCTCGTGTCATTGTACTCTGACGGTGTTGATCTTTGCTCATGATATTAATTCCTGGTTTGTCTCCTCCAGACTGTACTATTTACGGGCTGCTATTAAATAGATTTTATATTGCTGAGTGCAGTATTAAGCTACAAACATGCAAGCAAGTATATTTGTAACTTGACATCAGGTCCATGTGAGATTGTAACATTTAATCCTGGCAACATACGAACATGGCTGAAACAATTCTGTGCCTAGTACACAGGATGTATAGTACACTCTTAACAACATATATCAACTAGGCATGTATTGAGTACAATGCTTTCATTGCTTTCAGGCTGCATTTGAACCAAATACACAATCAGGCAGCATATGTCTGCAGGAACCACAGTGACTACGAATTCTTTGTGTAGCGTGAAGATCCAGGTTAGTTAAGGTCTTCAGCAAACCCTGCACCACCCCGCGTCTCTAACTGAAAGGGTCAACTCCAACAACCATCCATGCAGACATTGGTGTCAATTTTAGGTTATGATGCCTCTTCCTTTGACACTCTCAACGGATTTCAAGAGGGGCAGAGAGAGCATCGAAGATTACCCAATATCAAGAAGACCTTCAACTGACATCACTAAGGAACATGTTGATAACATACATGGGGTGATGGATGACTCACCACACGTTACAAAGCTGATGCAATAGGCACCTCTCATGACATACGTTTAGGCACGCTGGGTTTCAAGTCATCTGGATTCCGATCATAAACTCTCCAGGTTCATCACTCGTGTGATTTTACCTCGTATTGAAGCAGACCCAGCTGACTTTGTTTAGCGATTTGTAACCATGGATGAACCTTGGGATCAGCCAGAGACAAATCAACAGCCAATGCATTGGACATATATAACGTCTCTTTCGAAAAAGACGGTACATTCTGGCGGGCAAAGGACTCTTGAACTACCTCCAAAAAACATCTTCCCGAGGCAAGAGAGTTAACTGGCTAAAAAAGTCCAGTTCCCACCCTTGCCGAACTAGGCTGGTATTATGGAGTTTACATTTTGGCTGGACTAACGAGTCTTTGCATAGTCCAATCAAAATCGCGCACCGAAATCGAAATCCGGTTCGTAAACTGTCGTGCAGATTTTGATCGATTGCAGGATTTGCAAAGCATGTGCACCGCCAACTCGTTGTCAGCAGATATTTTCCAAATCTTTTCATGTTTTTAATCAAGGTGCTCACGTGATTTGGTGCATTTCGCGATGTAAGACCAATATAGATCTTGATTATCGATCAGATCGTCCTGACTGGGCGCCACCATTTTGTGTGAAACAAACGCAAGTAATACGACAGGTGGAATCTGATTGGTCAATAGGAGATGCCTAGAGGGGACATATCTGGTAATAGCCACTGGTTTCGCTACGATCGAGCCCAGTATTTCCAGTCTAGTTCGGAAAGGGTGGAAACTGGACTTTTAAAGTCAGTTAACTCTCTTGCCTCGGGAAGATGCCAAAAACGGTCAGACCATTAATGGACAATGGGCAACTACGTGATAATACCAAGGATAACTCTCCTTGAAAACAAAAGGTTTCTGGTTCAACCAGAACAACGTATCTGTCTTAGACAACGTATGCAATGTATTGTGGCTTCGAACTCATTGCAGCCTCTGTATTCACCGTATTTGGGAGCGTCAGACTTTTACATCATTCCCAAACACGAAGCAAGAACTGTCTGGCGAGCATTATACAAATGATGGTGACGTCATTTCTGACGAGGGGGCTTTAAGATCACAAGGAACGTAAGCATCATTGGCAGAGGTACGTGGACTTCCGAGGGGGTTAGGTACAACAAATTCATCAACCGACTCCATCAACACAGTCCATCACAGTCAGCCCCAGAATATTTCAGCTACCCCTCGTAAAAGCCTTACACATGCCCAAAAACCAGGGGAGTGATCGACCTTCCAGGGGACACGCTCTATCGACAAGACCACGGTTTCGGTCTTTACTATACTCTGTTTCGCAGCATATTAAGAATGTGGCATGTGTTCATGGTGTTCAAATATTATAAGTTGAAATGGAATATGAAAAAAGACCATCAGAATGTTAGGGATGTTTAAGAGTCTTCCAGATTTGCTTAAACTTTACAGTTGTTTATGCTGCTACAGTTCAAATAACACTGATAGCAGTAACCTTGTTCTATACTTTCTACAGGCCCAAGGGCAAACACGTATGTGATAAGTAACATGTTACGATGACTTTAGTTGTTTAATTACCAACTTACCCTAAAAGCGGATATCAAAAACTAAAATTGTGTGGGAACAAAAACATTTCTCCACAATTACTAAGCCGAGAGAAGACGGTCTCTAAATCTAAAATCTATATTAGTTCCTCTGAAAAGATAACATAGACTTAAATACGGGGTCCATCTCGTCACTGTTGTGAAAACCGAAGATTACATGATTAGTAATTGATTCTGGCTCACTCTGATCAGGCGACGGATCAACCAGCTGGTCTAAATGTCTCATATTGAACGAATATTTTATCTGGCCATGTCACAGTGACACTATGTGAGTACACCTAACCTCAGTCATGTACTAGGTAATCTAAGATAACAAAAGCTATGTTGACTTAAATCCAACAAAACCAGTCTAAAAGTTCACATTGCAACTAAAGCATGTTTGAACTGTCACTGATACATTATATACTAGAGCAGGAGAGGTTTGCGTAACAATTTACTGATATGTTTTTGTTTTGCCTCTTTGGGGTTAAATAAATACAATGTCCATTTGCAAGTTAACCGGATATTTGTCCACACGAGAAAACAATATGGCTCAGGGGTGAAACCTCAGCATTTTGGTTGAAGCTAGACACTGGTGGAGCAATGATTGATATCTTAAATTTTATCTTCAGACATTTCTGAGACAAAATAACTCTTAGAACTAAATAGCAGTTGTTGATGCTGTTGGTGTACTAGCCGGTTTAGAACGTACACGGACAGTGTTGTTGATCCTGTTGGTGTACTAGCCGGTTTAGAACGTACACAGACAGTGTTGTTGATCCTGTTGGTGTACTAGCCAGTTAAGGACGGACACAGACAGTGATGTTGATCCTGTTGGTGTACTAGCCAGTTTAGAACGTACACAGACAGTGTTGGTGATCCTGTTGGTGTACTAGCCAGTTTAGAACGTACACAGACAGTGTTGTTGATCCTGTTGGTGGACTAGCCAGTTTAGAACGTACACAGGCAGTGTTGGTGATCCTGTTGGTGTACTAGCCAGTTTAGAACGTACACAGGCAGTGTTGTTGATCCTGTTGGTGTACTAGCCAGTTAAGGACGTACACAGGCAGTGAGTGATTTCAAACGATGTTCTTCAGTTCTAGAATAATGACATCTTGAAGATTATGAAGAGTGCCATTTGTGTATATACATATCTTCGAGTCTTTGAGTACACAGTCGTATTATCAAACGTTTCAGGTCAATCTACATTTTGGCTTGTTTAGCCAAATCCTAAATCGTTGATAAACCTTTTTGCAGACTAAACCCATTTAATATTTCAGTCATATGAAGTACCAATCAAGGACTAGTAATGGAGTGTGATGTTGATAATTAAATCTAGGTCTCCCAGCAACTTAACATGTAGGGCAAAAGAATGATATAAGATTGCAACCTGCCTGTTCCCGCTTTACTACATGCACTCGTGTAAGAGGTGACTAACGTGATCGGGTGGTCAGGCTAGCTGACTTTGTTGATGCATGTCCTCGTATCCCAGCTGCGTAGATCAATCAAGATGTCAATCACTGGAATGTCTGGTCCAAACTCGATTATTTACAGACCGCCGTCATACAGCTTGAATATTGCTGAGTGCAGCGTTAAAGCACAAACAAACATGTACATGTATCTGTAATCAAAATTAGCACAAAGGTCAGTGGTTCCAGGGTATCAATCGGAAACAACAAATACAATACCCTGTTACACCGAGGATGGTTACGCATATGTTACTGATGCACTGAGAAGACCTCATGGGCCATCGTTGAAAATCAGTGAATACTGGCGATAATAATGTTCAGTCACAATGAGTTTGTTCGTGCGTGGCGTTGCGACATATTACGTCTTGCATACGTAAACAACCACAGGCCATTAGACACGTTATCATGTATAGCTGATCTTACCACTGTAATTCTGATGCTGCATAAAAAATGGTACTTGGAGGTGATGTAAGGTGAAATTGGGTGCAACGTCGTGTCCCATATTACTTCACGAGTGTAGCGACGTGCATGTAAGTGTGTTTGTGGCTGCATGGGGCTGCTTGTACTAGTCCGGACTTTTGCAGTTTAACATGGATACCCCACTTACAGACATTACACTGGCCCCGAGCCGTGAAGACTTTGTTTTATCGCTTTAACCCAGGGTAACAGCAAATATCTTTCAACGTCTTTTGGTATGACGCGGGCAGGGGATCGAACCCCCGACCTACCGCTCTCCTGGAGGACACCACTTCACCACGGAGGCTGTTGGGTACGCAAGAATTTATGATTATCACTGGGGTGTGAGACGTCAGCAGCGACAAGGGAAGCGCTGAAGACTGGTATTATTCACGAAAAGGGTGTGGTCTGATACGAATATATTACAAGCTTGTATTAAAAGATGGTCAAATTGATACGGTTTAAAAAGTTACACGGCTGAAAGTGACGTTTACACTCTGCGAACCATGCCACTTGGAAAGATGATTATGTATCCCGAAGTGGTAAAAGAATACCCGATATAGCGCTAGTATTTGCCCCGGCGACAAAGCACTTCCTGGTTCATGAAGGTGTACGACGGAGGGGGGTACCCAGCCCTATGGATTTGTAACTCGATCGCGGTGACAGGCGATAAGCTACACCTGTATTCACATCAGTAATCTCGCACGAGTTGCCCTACCTGAGCAGCGCAGTAAATAATGACCCAGTTTGATAATAACATTACGTCTTCAAAAGATGGCATGTGTTGTCTGACATGATCGGAACGCTAGTGAATTGATTTTGTACAGGTCACCTATCTACATCTGTGCTGTGTGGATTTTGTGATACATTACTGGACGACATATCTCCTGCATGGCGGTGTATGGACCCGTGAGGTAGGAAGTGCGAATCAGGTGGTGTAGATTGCCTCCAAATATCTGCGACACTCGCGCAGTTAGTGAGACACGTGTCTTGTCGATTACTTTTGAAATCAATATTTTAAATCACCCTGACTGATGGTTATCCAGGTTAGAAAGACAGACACAGTCAGTGTAGCTGGGACTTAGTCCGTCACACAGACCCAGAAACCAATGTATCCAATGCAGGCCATGCAAGTCTATAATAGTTGGCAAGTCTAGATTACTATTGTTTTTGGAAAATGAAGAGAGACTGGGCCTCTATTTGTTATATTGTATTAAGATAATTTAACGTTGTTTTCTGTAAAATATTTACGTTTCAGAGACTTGATTTTAGTCTTGCTGGGACTACGCGACGGGTCTTTTGTTAAAGGCGTACTCACGTCCCAGCTACCACTAAATATGCACTAATTTGACTCGCTCTAAACCATCAGCCGGATGTCACGAGCCGCTAAAGTTCATCCAAAAGAAGGTTTATGATGTCTCTATGTTCATGGGGAGTTGATAGGTTTTCTTACGGCCCGTGATCAAGCTGTAAACCTAACAACGAGACCGAAACATCATCTAATACAGAGAATGCCTGAACATATTTTATTTCATAATTAGAATGTACTTTTCACACCTACTCAAAGGCAAACGGCATTTATTGATACCTGACAATTATTATTATTATGATGATATGGACTACATTGCTTTACATATTGATCTCCTAGTCGTGTACACTGCCATTTCTAAACTAGTGTCCAAAAGAAACGATACCACCTGTTTGCAACGACATAAAAGAAAAACTAACCAATGCAGAAGTTTAGGATTGGTGTTATGCTTTTGAGAAATCCTTTCACAACATCTGTACAAAAATTTCATTTCAATAAAATCTGTACAACCAATATGACAAGCCTTTAAAGATGGGTGGGGTCGAAAAATGAACATTTCGTTAGAGCACTGATCACAGAAACAACGGGAAATGTCACACCACACGTCTCAAAGTCAAGTCAGTAGCGGGTATGTCCACCGTGAGCATCAATACATGCCTGAACACGCCTACGGACTGATGACGGCACACGGCGACGTCGGATTTGCCGATCGAGGTGGTCCCATAAGTGCTCGATGGGATTCATGTCCGGTGAACATGCGGGCCATGGCAAAACCTGTACGTTGGCGTTGGCAAGGAAGTTCTGTGTCAATCTTGCTGTGTGTGGCCTTGCATTGTCATGTTGGAAAAGGAGTCCACGAGGCTGTTGCTGAATAAAGGGCACCACAACAGGCCGTAGGATGTCATTAAGATAACGCTGTGCATTCAGGTTTCCACGAATTACGACAAGCATCGTTTTGACGTCACCACATATGCCACCCCAAACCATTAACCCTCCACCTCCAAACGGCCGGACCTGTTGGATACAGTTAGGCGCCAAACGTTCACCAAATCGTCGGTATACAAGCTGCCGTCCATCGTTTCTGAAGATGAGGAATCTACTCTCATCAGAGAACATAACACGTGCCCAGTCCCGCCGTTGCCAACGTCGAACTCGCCTGGCCCAGATCAGTCTGTTGTTCCGGTGTCGAGGCGTCAGGAGCGGTCCGCGGTAGGGATGACGTGGCCGGATACCATACTGCCGTAGTCTCCTGTAGACGGTCTGTCGACTGATCCTGTGTCCCAGTGCTGTAGCTGCCGTGGACGTCGCTGTTACGGTGCGGTTCCTCAGGTGTAATACCCGGATGTAACGATCTTCACGGGACGTGGTTACTCGTGGTCTTCCACTCCTGGGCCTGTCTGACGTCTGACCTGCCTGACGTAACCGCTGCATCAACCTGGTGATAGTGATGCGTGCGCAGCCCAACCTTCTGGCGACGTCGACGTGTGACGCTCCTTGTTGGACCATTCCAACGGCTCTCTCTCTCTCGATGGCTGTCAAACGTGGCATATCTTGTGTTCTTTTTGTTGCTGTGATATCAACGTGTCTGATCAGCCGTTTTATACAGTTTTTCTGCACGTGCAGAACATGCTAGAGAGGGAAATGTCACTTTCACGAAATTTACGTTTTTTTCCGGAAGTGATCACGTGTTCCCGGTATTTTTTATCGACTACGCTGTGTTTGGGATGTGCAATACGAATTGGCATGTTTTCATACTTGACAATTCACTTAGTAAAAAACAATTTTGAAAATAAGTTGGTATCGTTTCTTTTGGACACTAGTTTATTTTCATAAGAAATCTCTTCTAAAGGCGGAGTGCATTGCACGATTCCGACTATATCATAAGCATGTTTTTATGAATCACTATCAAATAGTGATAATACCAGCTATTCGCGAAAAGGTGAGCTTATCCTGCCCCACCGGCCTCTCTCTGACATCCTTAAAAGGGAACGAAAATAACTAGACATTTCACTTTTAAAACAACTATAGAAGACTAGGTGACTAGCGTGTGTTACCACAATTACCCGTTGCTCTTGAGTATACACATTACTGGCTGGCTGGCCTTGGCTCAAATAACTCTGTGGAGTACAATGTTTGTTGTGAACTGGACCGCCTCCGTGATGCAGTGGTAGAGTGTCCGCCCGGAGAGCGGAAGGTCCGGGCCGCGTCATACCAAAAGACGTTAAAAGATGGTACTTGTTGTTACCCTGTTTGGCGCTCGGCATTAAGGGGTTAAAACAAGGACTGGTCGGCTCGTAGTCAGTGTACTGTGTCTGAGTGGGGTATTCATGTTAAACTGCGGTATGGTATCTCAGTGAGCTAGCACTATAAATCGGCATCAGTCCGGACCAGTACAAGCAGCCACACACACACACACGTGCATGCATGTCGCTATATAAGTGCAATAATCTTCACCTCACCTCACCACCTTGTTGTGAACTGCCTAAACTATTGGAATATAACTTAGAGGTGATTATTCTTAGAATTATTTTCTTACTTGTTTGCTTCCAATCGCCACAGACCCGTGAAGATCCGGGGTAGAATAGGTCTTCTGCAACCCACCCTTACCATAAAAATCGACTATGCTTGTCGTAAGAGGCGACTAACGGGATCGGGTGGCAAGGCTCGCTGACTTGGTTGATGCATCGTATCCCAATTGCACGGATCGATTCTCATGATGTCAATCACTGGATTGTCTGGTCCAGACTCGATTATTTACATACCGCCGTCATATAGCTGGAATATTGCTGAGTGTGGCGTTAAACAACAAACAAACAAATCCTATCGCCACAAACCTTTTTTGACGGTTAATTTCAAACCAGGATTGGGTTGATAAAGCTCAATATAAAAACATCGTCTTAACATAGAATACGATTTAAATGAAACTATCTATTTTAGTAATATATTTGAGTGCTAAGACTATTTATATCTCAAACCGGCGTGGTAGGTAGCCTACTGGACAAAGGTTTTGCCCTTCATGCTGAAGACCCGAGTTCGAATCCCCAAATACACGATATGTGAATCCCTTTCTTGTTGTTCCCCAAAGGATTATAGCTACAAGCGACATAAAACTATACTGCGTGATTTAAATACGTGTCCGGTATTAGGGTTCTGCAATCGGTATGCAGCTTGTCGAGTACAAAGTCTAGAAATATCTTTAAATATAACTGACACAATCACTACATGAGACCCCTACATTCACTATTGCACAGCTTATCGATAGGGCCCCAAGCATGGGTGTTGAACTACTTCGCTATGCCATAAATATGAGGATAAGAGCCCAAGTCCAAGTTACTCGTGCCAGGACTAACATAAGTAGGTGTGAGGGGCCTGAAGCCTGAAGCAGCGGGTTTGTTATTCGATATTTCTTTATTCAGTGAGTGAGTTGGGTTTAACGCCGCTTTTAACAGTATTCCAGTTATATCGCGGCATGTCAGCTTAATGTGGGAGGAAAGCCCGAAGTGATGCAGGTCTCAGACGTTTACCACTTCGGTGAAACCCACGAGCACGGGTATGGTGCTGACAAACCTAGAAACATAATTGGGGCGAACCGGGATTCGAACCCACAATCAAAGGTTTCTGGCGTGCCCAAGGGACGCAACTCTGCACAGCGAATCGCGACGCCTTAGACGACTGGGCCACCCGTGCCCCCTCTTTATTCAGAAGCACTTAATAAATAAACAGCTTTTGGATGATGATGTAAGACGAACCTGCTGTCATATATTAAATGAGTTTCAGTGTATTTGACCACATTACTGTAGCTGTTTAATAATTATGCAGCCTTTGAATAACGAACCCGGTGCTGGCTTGTTTTTCGTTATTCAAAAGTACTGAATAACTAAACAGCTTTTGGATGATGATATAAGACGAACCTGTTGTCATATATTAAATAAGTTTCAGTGTATTTGACCACATTACTGTAGTTGTTTAATATACAGCCTTTGAATAACGAACCCATTGCTTACTTCAGGCCCCTGTAGTTGTGTGCCTAGAAAATCGATATCTTTGTATCACTTGAATCGTGCCGTTTCCTGTGACTTGTGTGTGCTTATATACTGTGATTATCTTATGGCAAAATGGATTACATTATTTGATTACATGAGTAAACAAAAAATGTGCCTGAAATAGGCGAAGGTCAAGAGATAGTCAAACATTGCATATGCATGGATGGAAAATTAAAAAAATGAGTTTGGAAATATGTTACTCTATAACGTAAGGCCATATCAGGAATGTTTTTGAAACGTTAAATTATTATGACTTTATTGTCTTTTTTGTATCAGCTAGACATACAACCTCGTGTTATAAATATCAGTAAACATCTAGTAGGCGTATAATGCTCCTAATCCATCATGTCTGAAGGCCATACGGCAAATAAATTCTACATTACTCTTCATTAGACGAATAATCCGTTGAAATGAAGACGAAGATACGTCGTGGTATTTGTGCTGTCTGCAGGGTGTTCCTGTCGATGTGTGGGCGTTGAGGCAGTAGGTGGTGTTTAGAGGCGTTACGTAGTAATACGTACTAGGCGATTCGAGTTATGCGGCGTCACAAAACGTTATTTGGTTTGAGTGATGTTACGAAGCGTTGACTTGAAACTTGTAAACCCTTTTCTTTCCCACTAGGTCACCTACCTCCTCCCTTTTGTCTTGAACACGTGAACAATTAACCTGCCTTTGCATGTGTTTGTGACGGTGCAACCTGTGGGGCAGAATACGCTTACATTTTCGCGAACATCTGGTATCATTACTATTTGATAGTGATTTATAAACATATGCTCATGATATAATCATCGACTCTGCTTCATGCAGAGACTTTTATTGGATATGGAAAGGGTTTTGTCGTTTTATTTTCTTTCTTGTTTAACGCCGCTCATAGCTGGAATACGGCTGTCTGTTAATAATTGAGTCTGGACCAGACAATACAGCGATTGAGCATGGATCTACACAATTGGGATACAATGACATGCATCAACCAATCAGCAAGCCTGCATAACCACCCGATCCCGTTAGTCTCCAACCCAACCAAAGGTTGCTGAAGATCAATTCTAAACCGGATCTTCATGGCTCTCTTGAACATGTCAAGCGCTGGTTAAAGATAAGAAAAGACATCTTGGTCAGAATAAGGTTCCTCGTATCCCATTTTTTCTTCCCGAGGCAAGGAGTTAACAGACTTAAATTTTCAATTTCCACACTTGCCGAACTAGGCTTGAATTTCGGATTTATGTTTTGGCTGGTCTATGTATAATCCAATCAAAATCACGTAATCGACACCTTGTTCCTAAACTGCCGTGCAGATTTCGGTCGATTACAAGATTTGCAAAGCATGTGTACCGTCAACTGAGCGTCGATTGCTATTTTCCGAACCTTTTCATATTTTTAATCATGATGCTCAAGTAATTCCAGTGCTGCACTTCGCGAGGTAAGAACCGTTTTTGAACAATATAAATCTTAAGTAAGGATAAGATTTATTGATGCACAACTTCTTTATTACAATTAGGAGCGACGTTCTAACACCGTTATCAAGCAAGAGTACATAACAGGCTTCTCCACCTCAGTGTAACTACATCTCATATACTGCTCTATTGTATAAACACTGCCTCCTACCTGTATATGTACTTGTCAACCATACTCTGTACATCACTTGCTTGATAACGGTAAATCTTATCCTTACTTAGTACTCTGACTTCTAAATGCCTCTCAAAGAAATATAATTCTTGATAATCCATCAGATCGTCTTGACTGGGCGCTGTCATTTCTTTTCAGCAAACGCAAGACTAGTAATATGATAGGTCAATAGGAGGCATAAAAGTGACATAACTCGTAATAGCGACTGGTGGCGCTACTATCAAGCCACGAAATTCCAGCCTAGTTTATAGCCTTTTTATAGTCAGTTAAATACATTGCCTCGGGAACATGTGTTGTCTTAGGAACAACTTATTAGGGAATGCTTGGCCACAGTGACAGCAGAGTATAGGGCTACTGTGGCGTGTGACCATCTGGGATTACCAAATCCCAGCTGTGACCTGATGAGATTGAAACGGTGATTATTTGGTCAGAATGGTTGAATAGTCTGGACAACCTGACAACACCAAATCTCAGCTGTGCGCTTTTTATTCATCCCGTCATCGTGTCCCACGTCATGGATCAATTATGACAAAATCAACCAATTACAACTAATGTTCTGCTTGCTCTTGGCTGATTTATCAGTTTGAAATAAAATCAGGCGTTATAACTATCATTAAACGTCTCAGGCCGTTGAGGTAGAGGATGTGGTCATGGTGGAGGTTGCGGTCGTGGTCATTGTGCTGGTTGTTGTCGTGGTCGAGGTTGTGGTCGTGGTCATGGTCGAGGTTGTGATGGTGGTCGTGGTCATGGTCGAGGTGATGGTCAAGGTTGAGGTCATGGTGGTGGTTGTGTTCATGGTCATGGTGGAGGTTGTGGTCGTGGTCGTGGTCGAGGTTGTGGTCGTGGTCATGGTGGAGGTTGTGGACATGGTGGAGGATGTGGTCTAGGTTGAGGTCGTGGTCGTGGTCGTGGTTGTGGTCGAGGTTGTGGTCGTGGTCATGGTCATGGTCGAGGTTGTGATGGTGGTCGAGGTTGCGGTCGTGGTCAAGGTTGTGGTTGTGGTCGTGGTCGTGGTCGTGGTCGTGGTCGTGGTTGAAGTTGTGGTCGTGGTCATGGTCGAGGTTGTGGTCGTGCTCGAGGTTGTGGTCGTGGATGATTTTGACGTGCGGTATAAAGTAAAAAATATAAAGTTGCATCCTCGGGCTACTATCAAGCAAGGATGAATAAATATAAAAACGTGCATGTCTATATAGTACTAATATGCTCTCATGGTATTTCTAACTGGGGCGTATAACTTTGTATTTAAAGTACTTCATTTTTAAATTTTAAAGCAGACACCATAATCAACGTTGAACTGTTAGGAAACAATCCGGCTGTAGTGGCTTCTACGATAAAAGTTATCTGCAGTATCTGAATCATGACAGAATAATGCATTCTTAATAGCAGGACCAATCAGTAAGCGAGCAATGTTCCGGGACGGACGTCACCCCAGTGAAAGACCACTCCAAACCAGAATCTCGTTTAACAAGAACACTAACTGCTTAATTGATAACAGTCTAGTCTTGCATTTCAGCCATGATCCGATAAGAATGATATACGTGAATACGCGTGTCCACAACTGACATTTTAAAGAGAGCCCATTTCAAGTCTAGACGTAAGAAAGAAATGTATGTAGTTGGGTAATCATTAACCGCTATATCAATATGACTTGCGAATTTAAACAATTCAGTCAAATAGAGTGACTTTTGGGGACTTGAATCAAACATAACTGGACCAATTTGGCTCGAATATAATCCCTCTTTTATAATGAATGTTTGAATCATCGATATTTATTACCAGCAATGTAAGCGGAATAGGTAATAACTGTGCCTTTCGGCTGACAGCTCTTCATGTGTATTCAAAGATGCGTCATCCTTGGAGTATCATCACTTGCTATTATGCAGTCTCAGCAGCAGTCGGTCGGTCAAAACCCGTGTAACTACACATAGCATTAGATATACGGTGAGGTGAGGTGAGGTGAAATGGGGTTAATGTCGCGTCCAAGATTACCTAGGTACATAATAGAGAATTTAGAATGATAATAGAATAATTTAGATATATATCTTTTTCAATCTATTTAAGCCAGAAGGGGAAAATTTCAGGGGGACGCTTTCAGTTCTTCTTTTTCGTTTGTTATTATATCCTTTGACCACCACAGCACAGATCCCCAACACACTTTACTAATCTCCTTGACAAAGAGGAATCCAATTCCTGGGATCCGGTTGTCCTTGTCGAGTCCTTCTCTTGCATGTCCTTTCGACTTGACAAGTGCAATATTCTTCACCTAAAACGTGGCAAGGCAGTAAAAGGTGGTTCGGTTGAATTACAAGGGGTGTGATTGATTGATAGTATTTTGGAAGATCAGGCCTACGCGTATTTGGGAAGGCAAGTTCGAGACAAACTTCTGAATGTCCACATTCAAGAAAAGCTTAGGACAGAGTAATTATAAATCTGGTTTATAACAAACTCTGGAGATCAGAGTTCAATGCTCGAAATGAGGTCAAAGCCACAAATACCCATGCTGTGCTTGTTTTTTCGTATTCCTTTGGAGTGGTTGATTGGACGAAACGTGATTTCCCGAGTCTTGGCAGCCACACAAGAAGGGTCATGTCTGATGATATAAGTCACCACACTCGTTCCAATCGCAATCGTTACATATGCAAATTTAATTCTGGAAATTGGGTTTTCATTAGTGTTGATTTATCGGATGTACTTCTGGCGATGTATGTTGAGACTCAAGGAATTACTCAGCTATTTGTAGGAGAGAATCTGATCTTTGATATTGATATGGCCGATGGCACTGTACTGCTGGACGGAACTGGTTGGATCAGCCAGGTGACGTCCTTTTACAAACCTCTCATCATGAGATCTAGAGTTGGTTCTTCTGAGGAGAAGCCACTATGTAAATATTGTACATAGATTGTGCAATAAATTTAAATATTGATCCCTAGCCCAATTTTATAATTTATTGTTCCGAATAGTCACATTTTATATGGTAACATGCTAGTTTTAAATCTATATATGTGATAGTCAAGTGATTTAACTGTCCTTTGTCGACAGATTTTATAGTCCATATTTATATATTATTCCTGTACAACTTGATTTAGTCACGATATGGCTGAAATACTGCCGACGTGACTATACATTTTAACTCACTCAATTTAAATATTGTTCACCTTGTCAGTGGGTGAATTATCTTGCCACAAACATCATGTCTTAAACAGCGTGATGACTCTTATAAGGTAAGACAAGACTTATCCCAAGGGAAATTCATTTTTCACAGATGATTAGCACTAAAACATGAAAAGAAAATATAAGACATTAAAACATGTAATAAGAAATAAGAGACTTACTATTATAACCACAGGTTAACATTATCGTCTTCGCCAGGCTTTTAGGGAGTCATGGAATAGAAAAAATTCAATGTCTTTTTGAATAGGCCCGTGGTCAGCCTTCCAAATATTTCCCTAATCACCCGATCTTGTCCTCTTTGTTAAAGACAGTGAGAGTGTTTGAAGTAATTGACGTATCCGCCACTTTGACAGTAACGTGATTGCAATATTCAGAAAAATCGGGAAAAGTATGCGGACCTCGCTTTTGACTCCCCTTTGTGTTTGGTGCTCTCAGTTTGGTCGCCCCGGGCTTCATGGCGCAGATTAGGTAGGTATCCGGGAGAGGGTGGCTTGTGAGTGCAATGATAGAGGTAGGGTATAGACGGGGACAGGTGTGGGATCATACTAGTAGTCAATTATTAATACCGTATTCGACGTAATAAGCGCCCAGGGCCCTCTTAAAATTAGAAATAGGGGGCTCTTATTAAAATATTATTTTGTCGAAAAAAAAAGAGTTTAAAGATAAATTCCGTGGTTTATGCTGACAGCCTGAAATGTTTATATACGGGAGATATATTTTTCTAGATTTTAATTGCCCAAAATTAAGGGTGCATATAACACACGAGTGCGTATTATACGCGAATAAATAAGTCTTGTGTACATTGATCAATCGGAAAGGGTGCTAATTGGGATTGTTCACGAGCCAATATATTAGCAAATATCGCCGTGGGCGCTTATTAGAGCGGGGCACTTATTACGTCGAATACGGTAATACAAATCATGTCTGAGCCTTTGTGAATATTCATGGCCCTGACTCATATATTTTTCCAGCTCACTGTAAGTGGCAGTGAAGCATGTTGCTAGAAAGCCCTGTTTTACCATGAACACATACACATGTTTGTATATTGTAATCTATAAATAATTTTGCATTTGTTACACCTTGGTAAATGAATTATAATCGTACAGGAAAAGGTGCAGCAGCATCAATCAATCCGGTGATTGTGTTCTTGACTGATGCCATGGCAACGAAGAAGATAAAGTGTCATTGTGCTTTATAGGTTACCCGTCTCATCAGGTCACCCTGCACGGTTTTGTTACCACGGCGTGTAGTCGCGCGAATCACAGCATTGTGCTCTCCTCGTCCACGTGAAAGGAGATATGTTTGCCTCATTCGTATGCGCATTAGTACCCATCAATGCAGGACGCCACATGATCGTATGTCAACAATTAGATTCGACATTTCTGTCACGAAGGTAGACAGAATAACACGTATGTCCTTTCGTCTGAATGTATTATTTTACAAAGACGCCTTCTCTTAAATTAAAAATGTTGGAAAAATCATCCAATTTGTATGCGTAATGTTCCAGCGAGAGATTATTTTAATATTTCAAATCTAAGTAATGGATTATAGCCCAATGGACGCATGGGACGCAATTTGCTATGCAGGTTTGCGTCCTTAAACCTTTTAAGGATTCCTCAAATTCCTACCCCCCTCCCCTCCCCACCTAACCCCACACGTCGTGATAAACAAAATACTAAAGAACGTCATCCACCGCATGTTTGATGGCTAAACAGAGTGGCACAGTGAAGCAGGTATTGTCATGATCATTTTGTATTGGTTCACAGATACCAGACATTCAGCCTCTTAACGTTTTCATAAAGATTCTAATGTTGGGGTCTGATCCAATTTTCCATTGTTTGTCCGGCAGTATGTACAACTCAAAGCGCAGTAAAATGAAACGCCCACAGTTGCCCTATAGTATGTTTCTTCACGTATAACCCAATACCAGCACATCAAATACCACTACATTAATGGAAAATTGTACCCTCGACATGAGACAGATCTGATACTATCAGTCAGTACATCGTGACACGGTGGTGGTGTAAGCTTACAGAGCTCTGTGGTGATGGGGTCTTGGCGTGTCTGTCTCCGATTGTCGGGGTTACATATTGTAATGTTTTACTGCAAGGGCGTCAGTTAGAAACTGGGGTATTCTCATTTATAAACGAAACATATGGAACGTGAAAGGTCCCGTGGATGCATTTGAAGAAAATTATTTTGTTTTTTTGTCAACACACCGCTTCTGTAAATTGTCACATCGGGAATATTTATTTTACATTTTCACTCATGTTAAACATAAGAATAATGATACTACTAATGATGATGTTGATGATGACACTACTACTACTACTACTACTACTACTACTACTACTACTACTACCTCGCGGCGACAAACGGGATCGGTTGGTCAGGCTCGCTGACTTTGTTGATGCATGTCATTGCGTGGATCGATGCTCATGATATCAATCACTGGCTTGTCTGGTCGAGACTTGATTATTAACAGGCCGCCGTCATATAGCTGGAATATTACTGAGTGCGACGTTAAACAACAAACAGCAACTACTACTGCCACTACTACTGCTACTGCTGCTACCACCACCACCACCACCACCACCACCACCACCACTACAACTACTACTGACTATATGTATATCAGTAAGATGTTGATGCAAATGAACCTGCACATACATATTATAAAAGTACCGCCTACCGGTTACATCATCGCCCCAGGGCCTCGTTCCTCAAAGCGATCTCAGCGCTACAGTGATCGTAAGCCTATGTAAAGTATGGGACTTACGATCACCTTAGCGCTACAATTGTTTTGAGGAACGGGGCCACATACTGACTGACAATTCACCATAATTCAAGGTACTGACAGAATGAATCTCAAACCTTCCTTTTATCATTTTCGGCATCAATATGGCTAGCAACGACGAACACTCGTTAACACTGAGGTCTAACAGTGTGTTATAGTTCACTGTTC